CTTTTGAGTTGCCTTACTGACATAAATGAATATTTGCACGATATTCTAATTTTTCGAGTTTCACCTGTACCTCTGTGTGGTAAAGCTGACAAACTAAACTTCACTGTGGTGAAAATGAGCATAAAACCTTCCTAGTTCCTAACTGTAGTTCAGTATTTTTGGCTTCTAGGGTATTGGAGTTCCTCCATCCTTGCAGGTTAGAAAGAGCAACTGTGGTCACGTTGTTGATGCTGCTGTGCTGGGTTCATGCCAATAGTAGCAGCTTTGTGCCAGCAGTGAGTTTCTAAGCCTGACCCAAACAGCTAGAATTAGGTCAATAGGCTAAAATGCTCAAGCATTTTAAGTTTTAAAAAAAGTTCATTTATGCCTCTGGCTTTAACCACTGGTGAGGGGGTGAACTGCCTTTCCTTCTGGTAGGCGTTGTCTTAAAAGCATGTATTAATGCCGCTTCTGAGCACAGTGTTCCATTTCATAAACCTACTGTTACATGCAGTGTGATTTGCCTGAAGAATTTTAAGATACTGGACATTGTTTCAGTGGTAGGGCCCACCCCTGGAATATCCAGCAAAATAATAAAGATGATTGTGAGCATGTACAAAATATGTCCCACATACATGCATGAACAGCCAGGAATTTTGAATCAAGGGCAGTGGCTTGAAGGCAGGCTTGCACCTCAGTTCCCTTTCTTTCTTAGCTACTAATCACTGTTCTTAAATAAGATCTGTCCCCTAGTTTATTTTAAATTCCTTAGTCATCAGCATTTACTTGACCAATATTTTAGTCAAATCTCATTTAAGGAAGTGTGAGAATTTATAATCTATTGAAGAAGCATACTACTTGGTCGTCAACCTAAAATTGTAAGGGTTTTTTTGTTAAATTGTTTTGAATTTCCTATTATGACTGCACAGCTAAACCTAATTAGTTTCAAATTTGCTGCTTTTCTATCTCAATAGTAGGCGAGATGAATGCAGAACTTTCTCTTGGCTATTCAGAACAGAATATGCCCTGAGCTTCCTCAAACCCTTTTTAATATTATTTCCCATTTTGTATAGTGTGGCGAAAGCAGTAGCTGGCTGAATCAAGGAGCAGGATAAGAGGCTTCTAGCTTGAGATGGGGGTGACCTCTCCAATCCCTCCCCCAGGAGTGAGTGGCACTCAGTTCAGAGAGAATTCCCTCTCACTCAGCAGCAGGGAACAAAAGCAAGGACCACGTGCTGCTTTCTGTACCCATTTGGACTTGCAAAAGAGGCTAAGCAGCCAGAAGGGAGAACAATTAGCAGATGGAGATTTACCTTGGCAGCAGCTTTGGAGGCCGAGCACTCCTCCCTTCACAGGATCAGTTGTAGGGTTGCTTCTGAGCTTTAGAAAGTATTGCCAGATGTGGGTAGATGGGTGGGACTAAGCGTGCTCAATCCTTCAGAATCTCTTTGCAGTTCAGATATATTCTGGCTAGATGCATGAATTGTATATTACAAATACACTGGCAATTTTAGCAGTTGTAAAACTGTATGTTTCTTCTCTTCTCCAGAGGCTCAGTGATAAAAGTGGAGCCGTTGCACCGGAAAAAAATTAACACTTGAAGGAGTATGTAAAATTGCAAATCCTGCTGATAGCACTTCATCAGGCTGTGAGTTGCAGGCTCTCTCTGCAGGTATGAGGAGACGCATCGATGAGCTGACTGCACACTGGAAAAGTGAATCTACCTGAAGATGTTTATTGTAAAGTTTGACCTTGTTGCTTTTTGTTGCACTGAAACTGAACTGTTTCCCTCAAATTGCGTGGAACTCAGATTTCACCTTAGAGCACTGTCAGTTTGGTCAACTGATTGGAATTCTGTGGCTGACTGAGTAGCCTTTTCACATACTGCGGTGCTAAAAATCAAATGTTTAGTTCCATCGCTTTTTTGAAGAAAGCAAAGAAAATTTGAAATTTTTGCCAATGACATGGTGGTTTGTCATCAGTGTTTTAGAAGCACCATTTTTTTTCCTCAGAAAAGAACCAGATTTTAAGTGATTCGTCTTATTAAATTTTAAAAAATGTTTTGCTAGAGCCAGAACACTTAAGAAATGACAAGTAGCAGTTAACTTTGAGATGGATTTTTCAAGATCACTGGAAAAACAGATCTGTTGAAAAGTCATAGAAATCTTACCAGATAAGAAAGTAACTCCTGTTCTGGTAATATTTAATGTAACCCAAGTGCCTGTTGCTTCCCTCTGTTGGGTTGGAATGGCTTTATACAGCTGGGCATGCACTAAATGAGTTATAAAAGCCGTGAGCGTGTTCAATTTTGCACCAGCAGCCTTCCTCGTTGATCTGCCTTTACTAGAAGTGTTTGTCACTATAGATAGCTCAGGCAAATTATTACCTGGGTTGCTTTCCACTAATAAATTACCAAAAAAAAAAAAAAAGGGGGGGGGGGGGGGGTTTTCCTTCC